TGGCAAGTACGTTCGGTTTGGGGTCCTGAGTGTGCTGAATGTGAGGGGCTTGCACGACAGACAGCTGGCCACCTGACTGGGTCATGTCTGTAATTCCCATGTAGGGACACTGGTTACATGGGGAGGTGTCTTTGTTTTGCACCCCTTCACATGGGGGTTAGGGCTGGAGCTGCCAGGAGCTACATCAGGCACAGATCCTGTTGGCTGGGATCTTGCTTGGCTGGGGGTTTGGTGGCTTTCCATGGATTTTCAGCTGAAGGGCTGCTTTTAAGTATAAATAAATAAAATATTTGAGCTCAGTTCTACACAGATTTGAGGATCTGCAGGTGACTTTTTGGACAGTTTAGTGACAGGTGAGTGAGGGCAGAGGAGGGAACAGGGTGCTGGGATGGACACCAAGTACTGGACTAGCACTGAGGGACACTAAGAGCATTTGCCTGTGCATGTTGAGAAACCCCTCACAGCATTGTGGTTTTCCTCTCTTTTAGAACTGGAGACATGTCCTGGTTAACAGGGAAAGGCTCCTAACGCTGCTGATGGCTGTGCTCTCCTGATGCTGCACTCGCCATGGGGAGATGGGACAGCAGCTCCACGGCCTGGTGGGAACCCCATGGCTCAGCCATTTCCCTTTGAGACCTGGATGAACCTAGCATTGTGCACTGACCTTCCCAGGAGGATCTCACACGGCTCCTCTGCCCCTGTGTCTGCTGGGCTGGGGCTCTGCTGTTGCAATTGCTGTGGAATTCTGGAAAGGCAGGCCACAGAGAGTGTGGGGTTTGGCACTGGCAGTGGACATGGGCACCATATGGCTCTGGATGCTGCCATCGGGCTGAGGGTCCCCAGGAGGGTCTGAACCATGCACATCCCTCACCCCCATAAGCAGCATGAGTGCCTTTGGTTGCTCCTGTGCTTTCATGCATGATGCTCCTTTCAAAATTCCCTTTTCTCCCAGCAGAGCTCCAATGTGCATCCCTGTGGAGCCTGACATCTGCTCCCTTCCTGCATGGCTGCAGCATTTGCTACAGCTCTCCCTGTGCACTCCCACTCCAGGGAGCATCTGGGTGGGCCAGGAGATGGGGTTACACTGGGTAATCTCTGTGCAGCTGGTGTTTGTGTTGTCCAGGCTGGTCCTGTGCAACCCCACCAGCAGAGGTGGGTCCTTGTCCGTACTGAGGGTTCTGGAGCTCATCAGTCCCTGTCCCAGCATCTCTTGTCCTAGAACAGCCAAGGGGATGGAGTGTGTTCCCTGTCTCTTGGGCTCAGTTTGGGCTGGAGCACTGGCAGCTCTTGGCCCATTCCTGGAGTGTGTAGCAGGGGTACCTGAGAGCTGTGATGGCTCAGCTGCAGCCCTGGGCTGAGTGACCACCCTTCCAGCCAACCTTGGGATACCTTTCCTTAATGATATCATGGGATCAGTGATGTTGCTGAGATGTTATTTGAGGAAAAGTAGCTGGGGAACGTTTCTGGTTGTCCATTGTCTGGCACTTGTCCAGCATAGTGACAAGGTTGCATTTCCCAGCCCAGTGCTCTGCTGTCCTGTTTCCTGCCCCATGCTGAAGAGCCATGTCTCCAGCTCAGGAGTGGACCTGGCCAGCCACAGCCCAGTGTCCATCAGCCCAGTGGAGTAGGGGTTGAGGGTCTCCCTTGGGCTGACTCCTTCCCCAGCAGTCAGTGTTTTACCCTGAGTGCCAAACAAAAGGATTTATATTTTTAATTTGTTTCACCCCTATAAATTAAAGCAATACTATTCTTGGGGTCTGTGTCATTTCTGATTCTTTCTAAAATCTTGGGTCACCTCTGCATGTTGGCCAGATTGTTCAAGCACCTCTTCTTTGGAGACTTCCCAGCTGTGCCCAGCTCACTTGGATTTCCAGTCTTTCAGATCTCAGCTGGGTTGAAATGCACCAGTCTAACACATCTCTTTTTGGTCTCTCCTGGTTTCACTGCAAAGCTTTTCTCAGATGGAATGACCAGGAGGGACAGTAGCAGGATGTGCACACTCCAGCACAGTGATGAATGGGGACCATTATGTGTCTTCTGGATCCACAAAGCAATGGGAACTTGCAAGTCTCATCTCAGGTTCCAAAAGGCAAATGTCAGTGTTTCTGTCCCCAGGTTCTCCTCTGAGGGCAGAGGTGGCTGGGATTGCTCAGGTCCCAGTGCCCCAGGCAGGGCTCTTCCAGAGTGGCCTAGGGCGATGGGCACTGCCCGGGTGGAGGCAGCTGCCCAGGTGCTGCCTCAGCTCTGCCTATGACCCACAAAAATCTGGCTTTGTATCTCGTGTCCTGCTGGTGGGATAGTTGGACTTGGCTTTGGCAGCTCCCCAGGGGATCCAGCTGGAGTGGCACAGAGTGGCATTCCCTGGAGCTGTTTGTTTTCCCCAAGCTCTCTCACATTCTCCATACTGGCTGAGACTGACAGCTCCCCCAGCATGACTTTGCTGCACTGAGGACACACTGACAGAGTGCTTTGTCTTTCAGGAAGATGCTTTTTGATTTCCTTTGCCTCTGATGGGGCCTCATCCAGTATTGGGTATGAGCTGAATAAAATGGGCATCATCCCCATGTTCACAGAGCTGAAGACCATTCAGGGGCTGAGGAAGGACTTCTGCCCCAGTCTACAGCAACAGTGGGGGTAACAAGTCCCATTCCCTGCTTTTAATAGAGGAGCTATTTCAACCAGGGCTGGTAATATCACCCATGACACAAGAAATCCCAATCACCACTCTAGCTTTTCTTGGGACATATGTCAGGTCATGGGCAGGGCTGATGGCTCAGATGGGTATTACTCCTCTGCACAGGTGTGGGGTGGTGTTGAACCTGGGACCCCTTATCCAGTGCCTTGGTGAATGCTTCCCAGTGGCAAGTCTGTCCTGGAACTGGGCAAGGCTGGGTTGTGTTCTCTGTCACCTTTCCAGGCACATCTTGCAACCTCTCATGCCAGGACAGAAAGTTTCTCTTCTTAAGAAAACTGCCTGTTCCCATGAGGAATGAGAGCCCAGCTGGGGCACATGCAGTGACCCCCAGCTGCACTGCCCCATCTCACCAGACTGCCCAGATATCATCTTGGTTGCTCACCTTGCCTGCCCATGCAGACTTGATGGCCGCAGATCCTGAGCTCTCTACCAGCTCCTGCTCGGATTCTGGGCTGTGCCTTGTCACCCTGCCCATGCCTCACCTGTGTGCTTGCAGGTTGGGGATAGCTTGGGGGACAACTGGGGCTTTGCTTCTGCCCCACTCAGGTGAGACCCCACCTGCAGAGCTGCCCCAGTCCTGGGCCCCAGCACAGGAAGGACCTGGAGCTGCTGGAGCCAGTCCAGAGGAGGCCATGGAGCTGCTCCAAGGGCTGGAGCCAGGCTGGGAGAGCTGGGGGTGCTCACCTCGAGAGGAGAAGCTCCAGGGACACCTCAGAGCCCCTTCCAGGGCCTAAAGGGGCTCCAGGAGAGCTGGAGAGGGACTGGGGACAAGGGATGGAGGGACAGGACAAGGGAAGGTTGGGATATTGGGAAGATGGGATACAGTGAAGAAATTCTTCCATGTGTGGGTGGGCAGGCCCTGGCACAGGGTGCCCAGAGCAGCTGTGGCTGCCCCTGGATCCCTTGAAGTGTTCAAGGCCAGGATGGATGGGGTTTGGAGTACCTTGGGGTAGCAGAAGGTGTCCCTGTCCATGGCAGGGGGTGGGATGAGCTTTAAGGTCTCTTCCAACCAAAACCATTCTGTGATCCTACAACTTCAGCCAATCAGGTGTTGGTCTAACCATGCTTTCAGCCCCAGATGGTTTGGTTTTGGCAGCATATGGCAGTGAGCTCTGCAATTTCGTTTTAGCTATATCTAGGAAAAAAATCATCTTTCTTTGGTTTCTTGTGTTCCTTGACACAAGGACCCCATTAATAGCACTTACACTATTTGAGGCAGCTTCTCTGATGCACCTTATGGGATGAGTTGGAGGCTGAAGGTCATGAGGTGAGACCAGATCTGTAGGGTAGAACTGACATTTACAGAGTATGTTCAGAGAAGGCAACCATGCTGGGGAAGGGGCTGGAGCCCCAGGAGCAGCTGAGGGAGCTGGGAAAGGGGCTCAGCCTGGAGAAAAGGAGGCTCAGGGGGCCCTTCTGGCTCTGCACAACTCCCTGCCAGGAGGGGACAGCCGGGGAGGGTCGGGCTCTGCTCCCAGGGAACAGGGACAGGAGCAGAGGGAACGGCCTCAGGCTGGGCCAGGGGAGGCTCAGGTTGGATATTGGGAAAATTTCTTCATGGAAAGGGCAGTCCAGCTCTTACACAGGCTGCACAAGGCAGTGGTTGAGTCTTCATCCCTGGAAGCGTTCAAAAAATGTGTAGCTGTAGCACTAGGGGACATGGTTTAGTAGTGGCCCTGGCAGTGTTGTGCTAATGGTTTGACCTCATGATCTTAGAGGGCTTTTCCCACCTTAATCTGTGATTTTAAACTTGAAGTTACTGAAGAACTTTTCCCTGCCATTCACCTCTGGCTCAACCACCCCCTAACATGTCATCCCCCACTGCCCTCCCTAGCACCTCTGAGCCTGGATGGGGCTCAGGGAATTCACAGTGGTGGTTAAATGCTCTGTGAACCTGGAGGCCTTGAAGAAGCATTTCAGGGGAAGAGAACCATGCTCTCATGAGGCATCCTCATCTGTCAGGGGTCTTTGAGCAATATTTGTGTTGATAGAGCCTGGCTGGGAGAGGGTGCAGTTGCTGCAAGTCACGGTGACAGATACAACCAGCCGTCACCCCCTAAAGGTGCTGCAGAGGGGTGATGCTCTGTGACTTGTGATTTCCTTGCAACTCCATCTTGTGATTCCTGTGTGGGCTTGGTGTTTGAAGGTCGCTTCCCCAGATCCCCCTTCCAGCTCAGCAACCCTGTCCCCAGGGAGCCAATGGGCGTCTGGCCCTGCGCATTAGCCTGGCCTGTCATCTCATTGATTCCCTCCTGGCTAATCCCAGCTGAGCCGGGCTGGGGTGAGCAGGGCTCAGCTGCTGTCCATGGCTGCACCCACCCCGCTGCCCCCCAGCCTGCGCCGGGGCTTGGTGGTCTTCAGTGGCTCCCTCTTCATCAACAACAAGACGTGGGATAGTGGCACCGCCCACACCTACCAGCCAGGTATGGGCAGAAGGGCTCTGCGGAGGGGGCTTGGGAACAGGGGCTGTCCATCACCGTGACCCTGCTCAGCACATCACCAAAGCACCTGGGTGCCTCTGAGGCAGCAGCACCCACCAAAGAGGGGAGCAAAAATAAGAACATTTGCTGGAATCAGCTGTTTGTGGGACCCAGGGTCTGTTGCTCCCCTCTGCAAGCTGTGAGGGACTCCAGGGGCAGGGGGACCTCAGGGCTGGTGAGCAGCCTGCTCATCCCTGCCTGTCCTGCCTAGCTCACGAGGTGTTGTCCAGCCTGCCCCTCCAGGTGATGCTCTACTTCAACGTCTACTACTTCCCAGTCTGGTGCCTGGCTGAGGGGATTATGCTGCACCTAAAGGTACCATCCCATGGGGCATGCAGGGATGGGGGGAGCTGCTCCTGCCAACTCTCCCTGGGCTTGGGTGGGGGACAATGTGGGCAGGGGACAGAGGAGCCTCTTCAGAATTAATGGATCCCCAAAATGCCCTGACCCCAATGAGAAAATATTGCTCATCTCTGCTAGAGATGGAACTCATGAACTAACCAGGCAGGAACGGTTAACATGGTTGGGAAGTGTAGGCAGAGCTAGGCACCAGCATGGTGAGAGCTGGCAGAGCATGGAGAGCTGGGTATGGAAAGGAGGGCACAGGGAGCTGGGCATAGAGAACAGGGAATGGTGCACAGGTAAAGGGAAACTGGGCATGGACAGCTGGACTCGGACAAGGCTGTGCCCCCATTACAGTACCACCTGCTGCCTTGGCACTACCAGTTCCTGCTGGTCACAGCCTTCCTAATCCTCTCACTGGCTGAGGGCTCCCGCCTCTACCTGGGCTACCTGGGAAACCTCCAGGAGAAGGTAAGCACTGCCTGCCCTGGCCACAAAGGCCCTCATGCTTAGTGAGGATCAGCCCAAATGGGGGAACTGGATATCCCCTCACTTAGGACCCAAGTGCCCATCACTGTCCTTCCTCTGGAGTTCTACCTGGAGCTGTCCCAGAAGAGAATCATGGGTGCAGGCATGACCTGGAGAGAGAGAATGAAGGGGACCCATTTGCCCTCCTGCTGTATCTCTCCTGTGTTACCCTTAAGCACCGGGCGGGGTGTTGACAGCATCTGACCAAAGCTCCACGTGGCAGGGACATCCCTGGTTCCCGGGTGCCAAGGCCAGCAAAGGCTGATGCAGGAAGCTCCAGGGGCACAGAGGGTCCCCCCAGCCCACCACTGCCTCCTCTCATCAGGTTCTGATCCTGCAGGTGCCCGAGCTGGCTGGATTCCTGCTCCTCTCCTTCCTGATCCAGCTGCCCCTCCTCCTCTTCCTGCTGACAGACAGCCAGGTCATCCACTTGCCGCTGGAGGTGCCCATGCACAGCTTGTTCCTGGTCTTCCTCCTCCTTGAAATGGTGGCTGCCTTCCTGGCGCTGAGGATCATGACCAAGCAGCTGGCGGCACAGTTTCACCTGCGGCAGTTCCTGGAGGGTGGGGGGGAGCGGCTGGAGCTGGGGGGCACAAGGGGACAGGCAGCCGAGATGGCGTGGTGCTGCAGGACCCCTCCACCCCACACAGCTGGTCCTGGCAGGGAGCATTAAACAGGCTCAAACCCGCAGACACTGTTTCTGAGCTTTGTGGAGCCCCCAGAGGCAGCACCCAGGCACAGCCCAGCTGACCCTTGCCCTGCACCAGCCAACACAGCCTTGGGAAAGTGGGATTGAGGGCTCAGCACCTCTGAAATGTTCCAGTTTACCCCAGGGCTGTGCCTGTCCTTGCTGAGCATCAGCCCTGGAAGGAGGCAGGAACCAGGGTGCAGGAACCACTGCACACCCCTAGGAAGTACCAACCCAGGGCTGTAAATTTAAGCTAGGCCCCTAAACCCTCCCTGAACTTCCCAGGGGGCTTCTGAGAATCCAGGTGGCCCACATGAAGCCATCCTAGCTGAAAGCTTGCAGGGTGCCGTGAGGTGCAAGAGCAGCAGCACTCCACAAGCTTACAGTCTCTCCAGGGCTAGAGACAGAGCAGAGCCTCCTACTGCTTCCAGAACAGCTTTATTCCATTGCATCCCTGTTTTTCAAGGGAAATCAAGGCCCATGGCCATTGGAACATGGAGAAGTGCAAAATTCTTTAAGCCTGTTGTGCCAAGCAGGATCAGCTGCTCCCCAGCACGCTCTGGTTCTGGGGCAGCTCTGCTCCAGCACCAGCTGTCAGTGCTGTGAGCTGCCACTGGGATGGCTTTGTGCTCCAGGAGCCAAGAACTGCTGCTGCTGCCAGTGCTTCTCCAGGAAAGGCAGACCCTAACTCCGGCCGTGCCAGGACTGGCCCACCTCCACCAGGGGTCCCCCATCATATCTACCTGGAGGTGGCTCTGGAGGGGAGGGTGTTTGTGGTGGAGCATTCCCAATGTCCCTAAGCTGTGGCCCCAGGCTTACCTTTAGGGGGTCTTGCCTGCAAAATGAACAGGGACATCAGTATACAGCAGCCATGGAGGCAGCCCAGGTGGTCCTTGGGTACTCTGCTTGGTTCCATGCAACCAGATTCACTGTCCAGGACCCTCACTCCACTCTGGATTTGAGATCAGGCATTAGGAAAGTTTCCCCCCCTGCCCCTGCATAGGATGGTGCAGCTTTGGGACAGTTCACCAGGAGATGGGGGATCTCATGCCTCAGAGGCTTCTAAGATTTGGCCAGAAAAAGCTGGAGATGACGTGAGGCAGGGCTGCAAGCTCTACTGGTCTGTAGGGGCCTCCCTGTGATTCCCTGATTGACCAGGGTAGCGAATTTCCACAATGGAATCATGCTTGGCACATAAACCTGTCAATGAACCACAGAACAGAATGTGCACTAAGAGCTGGCGTCTCTGTGCAGAGAGTTCCAACAGATTCCATTTGGAAGAGGGTGAAAAAGCATGAAGCTGGGTTGGTTTTCCAGGTAAGGTCCCCATGGCAACCCACTGATGTTTTGACAGTAGCTGAGGTCATGGTGCAACTTTCCCTGACCCTTGGCACCAGCTGGATCCCTCTCCCAGTTCAGACTGGCAACCAAGCCCAAAAGTTGGAGACTAAGAGCTGCTCCACTAGGTTTTTCCCTGGTCTTGGGAACTGAGTTGTAACCAAAAGGCAGAAAATCATTAAATCCAAAATGATTCACTTCAAAACCTCCTCTCCCCCATATGGCCCTATCCTTACCTCCTCAAACTTCCCCTTCCAATAAAGGTCAGCCTTTGCATCCAGGTAGAGCAGAACCAGGTCACAGACTATTGTAGCCTGGAGACAGACAAACATTGAAGACAAGGAACTTCTCACAGGAATGCCTGGCTTTCCATCCTGGCTCCTACGGAGCCCTGCAGCCAGCTGTGAGCATTTGCTGGGGCAGTGAGCCAGCCCTGCCTCCAGCCACCTCCACTGGCTCCTCTCTGACCCAACCTGGTCCCAGGAGGTCAGACAGGATCCCCAGGCTGCAATGGATGGACAGGGAGGGCTGTTCCAGCACCCTCACAGTCACATATGGACTGGGATGAGCATGTCAGTGAGAAAAGGGGGGCAGGTGAGGGACCTCCCTGTTACTCTGCTGGAAGGGTAGAGCCAGAGAAGGGCTCTACAAGGGGCTGCTCCACCATAGTGACAGGACACTGGGTCCCTTCTGAGTCAGAGGAGAAGCAGAGAAGAGCTGCTCTCTCCTGCTGCCAGCATCCCAGTGATACTCTGCCCCAGGATTCACACAAAAACATGACCTCCATAGGATGTGACCATGACAGCACTCAAGATCCCAATCCAGTGGTGTCATTACTAATGGTCACAGGGAGACCTGAGCTGACACCGTGCCAGACCATCTCCCCTCTGTGCTGGCTGGCACTAAGGAAGCTTTGTGCCCAGGCAGGCAGGGAAACAACTGAGAAGTGGCAAATCCCAAGCCACAGATGGAAGAAAAAGGGTGTATCAAGAGTACTCACAGCACCAAAGAAGGCGATGCTGGTGCCAAAGCTCACGGCAGTAGGAACAATGCTGAACTTCCCAGCCTGGTGAGAAACAGTGGAGGGGTAAGAGAGGGTGGAGAGTGGTCAGAGGGGTGAGAAGGTTGTGGACTGAGCCATGTGGGGCAGTGTGCTCAAAGTCAGGAGGTACTTGGAGGATGCAGGGATATTTCCCCATGCCCATTTGTAGGAACTGCTGTTGTGCTGACTCCAACCCCCTTAGGCTGTCAAAGAAGGGACAGAGGTGCCTGATGACCTAGAAGCAGCAGAGGTTACTGTGACCCACTTGCTCCTGCAGGCATAGCAGGAACCTCCCTCTTGCTGCAGCTGCCACCCATGGAGCCACATCCCAGCAAACACAACCATGGTGTGATGTGTCCCTCCCTTCAAAAATGAGTCTGGTGGTTTCCCTTCTGGCTGTTCTCTCCTGCTTCACAGCTCCTGTTCTCTCCTGCTCTCTCAGCCTAGAGGTGGTACACCCTCTCCTGCACAGTGTGCTTCACCTTCTTCAGGTGCAAAGGGCACTGCTGAGCACAAAAGACCAGCTGTGAACATCTCTCAGTGGGGGAAGTGCTCTCAGCACAGGCTTCCTCTTTGGAAAGCTAAGCACTAAATTTGTGAGTGATGCTGCATAGGGTAGCATCAACAATCATAGAAACATGGAATAGTTTGGGTTGGAAGAGACCTTAAAGCTCATCTCATTCCACCCTCTGACATGGACAGGGGACACCTTCCACTATTCCAGGCTGCTCCAAGTCCTGTCCAGCCTGGCCTTGGAAATTTCAGGTATGGGGCAGTCACAGCTTCTCTGAGCACCCTGTGTCTGGGCATCATCACCCTAACAGGGAACAATTCCTTCCCAATATTCCATCTCTCCCTGCCCTCTGCCACTGGGAAACCATTTCCCTGTGTCCTGTCCCTCCATCCCTTGTCCCCAGTCCCTCTCCAGCTCTCCTTGAGCCCCTTTAGGCCCTGAAAGGGGCTCTGAGGTCTCCCCGGAGCCTTCTCCAAGTGAACACCCCCAGCTCTCCCAGCCTGGCTCCAGAGCAGAGGGGCTCCAGCCCTTGAGCATCTCCGTGCCCTCCTCTGGGCTCACTCTAGCAGCTCCAAATCCTTCTGGTGTTTGGGACACCAGAGCTGGAGGCAGCACTGCACCTAAGCAGGGCAGAGAATCAGAATGTCTGCTTTACCTCCTGCCCACACTGCTGGGGATGAGTCCAGGACATGGACAATTTCTGGGCTCTCAGTGCGCACGGCTGGGGAATGTCCAGCTTTGATCATGTGACACCTTTTCCCTCTGAAGGTACTTTTAATCAAGAAGGGATTAATTGTCCAGGTTCATTAGAGTTCAGGTTTATCTTTCTCAGGGTACTCCCACCATAAGATCCTCAGAGAGACACCTACAAGCCCAGACCTTGCCTACTGAACACTTCACAGCCCTCATGTCAGACCCTCAGAGAGGGAAGTCTCCCTCCTCAGAGCGTTACCAAAAAGTTTTTCTTCAAATGGGAGAGACTGTTTTCTCCTGCTCTGGTTAGGAAACTCTGGAAAGAAGTGAAGAGCTCACCCAGGTCGGGAGAAGTGATGGTAGCAGAAACGATGGGGGTAGAGTGGAAGCAGTGGTGTGAGGAGTCAGCCCTGGGGCTGAGGAGCTCACAGTACCTGGCCGTGCACGGAGAGGTCAAAGCGGATCCCATAGAGTTTCAGCAGGTTTCGGTACAGCTCCCGCTGCGAGCCCCAGTAGTAGGAGGCAGTTCTGTGGGAGATGGGCATGGCTCAGCAAGGCAGCTCCATGAAGGCAGGGAGGGAAGTGGGTGCTAGTGCCAAAGGATTGCTGGGCTGGTGGGTTCCTGGGTGTCCTCCAGGCTGGGAACTGGGCATACATGGGCAGCAATGACTTGCTGGCACCAACAGCTGGGCATCAGCATCCCCTCAGCACCCAATCTGGGTCACTGGGAGCATGCAGCTCTCAGTGTGCCCAGTTCAGGTGGGGACAGTCACATTACCTTCTCTCAGGCAGGTAATGCCCTGCTCAGCTCCAAACACAACAGAGCTTCGAAGTATGGGAACTGCCACAGCATCCCTGTACTGACAGGCCCTGCCCTGAGTTACCATTTTTTGTTGCCTTGGAATCACTGAATCATTGGAAAAGGCCTCTAAGATCATTAAGTCCAGTTAACCCAGCATTAACCCATGTCCACCATGTCCAATGTGCCACATCTGCACAGCTTTTAAATCCCTCCAGGGATGGAGACTCCACCACTGCCCTAGGCATCTGCACCAGGGCTGGACAAACCTTTCAGTGAAAAGATTTTTTCTAACATCCGATCTAAACACTCCCTTTAGCGCAACTTCAGGCTGTTCCCTCCAATAAAGCTCCTTGTTGCCTGGGAGCAGAGCCTGATGCTCCCTGGCTGTCCCCTCCTGGCAGGGAGTTGTGCAGAGCCAGAAGGGCCCCCTGAGCCTCCTTTTCTCCAGGCTGAGCCCCTTTCCCAGCTCCCTCAGCCGCTCCTGGGGCTCCAGCCCCTTCCCCAGCTCCGTTCCCTGCCCTGGACACGCTGCAGCCCCTGCAGGTCTCTCTTGTCAGAAGGGGCTCAGATCTGCCAGGACTGGAGGTGCCCCAGCAGGGCCAGCACAGGGAACACGCACTTTTCCCTGTGCTGCCATATCGGGGCTGGCACAGATCAGGTACCCTTGGCCTTCTTGCTCACTTGGGCACACCTGGGCTCATGTTCACCTTCAGGTCCTTTTCTGCCTGCAGCTTTCCAGCCACTCTGCCCCAGCCTGGAGCATTCCATGGGGTTGTTGTGAGCCCTGTGCAGGATCTGGACACGACCTTATTGAACCTCATACCATTGGCCTCGGCCCATGGATCCAGCCTGTCCAGTTCCCTCTGTACAGCTTCCTGCCCTCCAGCTGGTCCACACTCCCACCCAGCTCAGTGTCATCTGTGAACTGACCAAGGCAAACTTGCTGGCCCTGCTGCTCCTTTCAAAACATCCATCAGAACTGAAATCTCAAACAACTGCCATGTGCTGACCTCACAGGCCTGTGTAGCCACTGTCCCAGCATCTTTACCTGAAATTGTACCTCCTGTCCTGCAGGCTGAAGGAATACTGTGGCTGGCACTGGGTAGCGGGGTGGTCCAGGTCGCAGTTCCACTCAATAAGAACTCTGATGCTTCCTCCCTGCAAAACACATTTTATTCCAGGAGAAGCATGGGATCAGATTGGCTGAGTCATTAACTGTTCAGACATTCCCAGATCACATATTCCCTTAGCATTTCAGGTCAATCCTCTGCTTCTTGCTCACATCCTTGAGGAATTTTGAGTTACCTTCCATAGTTACATAAAAAACAAGTACCAGCAGTGCGAGGTCTCCAAAGTTCTCTCCAGCTGCCTCCACCATGTCACGGACACGGAACACAGGGCAGGAGGGGTTGAAGACGGGATCATATGTGCAGCTCTTGAAATAGCTGGAGTCAGTTGTTTGTAAAGTGTTGCACCTGAGACAGGAGAGAGGGGGGGCAGGGGTGTGGGAGGTAATGGAGCCCAGCTGTGGGACTGCAAAGGGGACCCTCACATTGGATTGGGCCCACCAGTGCATTGGTGGGGGGACAGTCAATGCCTTGCCTAAAGCCTCAGATGGAGAAAAACCAGCCCAGAGGAATCTCCCATGGAGTTATTCTCTATAGCATGTGCCATGACATTCCCTTCCACCTCTTTGTACTCCTTTGTTTCTTCCCAGCACCCAGCTCTAGTCACTGCTAGGGTTAACACCAGGGACAGTTCATGCCACATCTCCTGCCACAGTAGGGCAGGACAGTCAGTGTGCTGGGGCTGTGGGGCCTTCTGTGAAAGCACTTTGCAAGGACTAAAAGAAAAAAATATTAGTTTCATTTCCAAATGAGAGTTTAGGAATTGGCTGGCCTTATCCAGCTCTTTGCAGTGCTCTACATGGGCAAATGGACACCAATCCCTTTCTCTGAGGTCCCCATCCCACTGCTCTTAGAGCTGCACACCCAGCACACCTGCAATGACCTGTATTCACCTCAAAACCTGTCCTGTTCTAACTGGCCCAGCACTACCTGCCCTGGGTGCCACTGGCTCCACGAGTGCTTCAGCTCCTTAGCCCCATGACAGGCTTGGTGCCAAGGCTGGACCAGGCTGCCTGCTCAGCCCAGCTGGAAAGTACTGTACTTACTTGGAGAAGTTAAATTTGGTGAAGTGGACAGTATTTTTTATAAAAATAGTGAAATTCTCTGCCTCAGTCAGAAGTGGTTTCCTAGAAAACAACCACCAACAAAGTCATGTCTTGCACAGTGGTCAAGGCCCCATTTCCCGATCCCTGCAATCTCTCCTGCAACCCCAGAATTTTGGCTACAATGGACAGGTGCAAGAAGTGCTCTTAGGTGAAGTCCTCTGAGTTTAACTGACAAGAAGGTCAATGTCAGAGGTCTCCCTGAGCCTGGCTGCCCTTTGGGCAAGTATAGTCAGACTCCTGGTAATGCAGAGGGAGGGAGCCAAAGCTCCCAATTATCTGCTGTCTCCTCATGTGTGATTACCTGGGCAGGGTGCCATTCTCCACAGGGCACCAGCCATAGATCTCACAGGTGGAATGAGTGGTGTTGAACATCAAACATTTCCCAGTTTTTATGCCTAGAAAGGAAACAATATAAGACAGGCTGAGAGAGTTGGGGTTGATCACCCGGAGAAGACTTTGGAGAGACCTCAGAGTCCCTTCTAGTGCCTAAAAGGGCTCCAAGAGAGCTGGAGAGGGAATTGGGACAAGGGCCTGGAGGGACAGGATAAGGGGAAATGGCTTCCCAGTGGCAAAGGCAGGTTGAGGTGGGGTATTGGGAAGAAATTCTTGACGGTGGTGAGGCCCTGGCACAGGGTGCCCAGAGCAGCTGTGGCTGCCCCTGGATCCCTGGCACTGCCCAAGGCCAGGCTGGAAAGGACTCAGAGCAACCTGGGATAGCGGAAGGTGTCCCTGTCCATTGCAGGGGGTGGAACTGGATGAGCTTTAAGTTCCATTTTAACCCAAACCATTCTAGGTTTTTGTTTCTTTAGCAAAACGCCCAGTACCATTGCCATGAACCACAGGGTTTCCCATGGGACAATCTGCATCTTCTTTGCACATCCCGTCGAGGACAGAGGGGCTCTGTGAGGGACAGAGAGAAGTGCTGTCACTGTGTTGTGCAGCTACCTGAGGCCATGCTGTCACTCCCCCCCATTGCTGCACTGCTGCTCCTGCATCTCCAAGTACTTCCCACATAATTAGAGATGAACATTCACCAGCCTCTAGCCAGTCAGAAGAGAGGCATGTCCAAGGGACAATCCTTCCTCTCCAGAGCACTTGTGTCCTACTGCTCAGTGGCAGAGGAAGCCTCAGGAGCTACCTCAGACCTTTCAGATGGAACTGGGAACCAGCACTGAGAGATTCAGGAAGGCCCTAATGACTGAGCCCATTAAACACCTTGTAAAGTACTATGATGAATTCCCTGGAGGAGAGCTTAGTAGACCCTAAATCCAGCATAAAAGAAGTTTTACAAGAGACAGGAAAAGCTTAACCCTTACTCTGGACCTACCTGATTGTCAGGAGCAGTAAAAATCTTTTATTCAAACACAGAGAGATGATGGTAGTTGGGGAAATACCACTAACACCTCCCCTAGCTACCCCAGGCCATGACAGGAATCACCAGCTCATCAGAAACCCACCTCCCCCAAGCCCTGGGGGGCACAGAGGCCCAGATGCAGGAGGGGAATCCTCAATTATGGAGTCAAAAGTGAGGTTCTGTTCAGGCCTTCCCCAAGCTGCCCCAGGACAGCCTCAGCCCCTCATTCAGGTGTAAAACCCACCAATATGATCTGAGAGGAGCAGTATCTTTGGGATGGGTGGGGTCTGAAGTCATTATGGGATGCAGGAGAACATCTGGCAATTGCCCAAGGTGTTTAGGGAAGGGGCTATGTAGGGGAGGAAGAGAAGGCATGGAAAGGAATGAACTTGGTAGTCTGAAAAGGAAGACAAACATTGGAACATGAAGGGATAAAAGGGTGCAAAGACTTAAGTGCATGTACAGCTGCTGAAACAGTTTGGCTCACATTTGGTGCTGCCTCTGGCCACACACACACTCATCTGCAAGCACCAAATACTCTGGTTGTCAAGAATATTAAGATGATTCAAACTCCCTGCAAAGCCAAAAGCTGCTAAATATTCAAAGCTTTCCAAATATGAATGTCATCTACAGCCCAAATGCCAGGAACAGAGGAACTCTTGGAGACCAGCACAGGATGTAGGCTGGGATACACACCAACACACACCCCAGCTCTGGAATGAAATCCTCAGCTCTGTGTGTCCTTGGCTTGCACACTGCAAAACCAGAGGTGCCTGTGGCTGCCTGTGAGAACCTTGAAATGTCCTACAGCACTTGTCTTCCTCCCTATTGGGACTTTAGTAGTTCTCAGCATTTTAAAGATGGATCATTGGTGCCATTTTCCCCAATCCAAGCCCAGTGTTTCTCCTCCCCTGCAGCATTTGGCCACAGCAGGAGCTAAAGGGAGCTAATGCAATTGGTGCTTGGCTTAGGTACAAAGTGCCAGCAGTGGTTCAGCTTAAAGGACATTTACTCCCATCTGCTGAGCTGGGTCCAGCCTGGGAGAAGGAGCTGGCCTGACTCCAGCCTTAAAGGGAAGATTTCTACCAGAGAACATATACCATTAAGTGCTGGCTAGCTTGGAAAACCATCTAGACCTTGTGCTCTGTTCCTCCTAAAAACAGGACACTAAGATGGGCATTAGTCCTGCAGCAGGGAGTTATCAAGGAAACATGACACAGGTATCCATGGAGTGTGTGCCAAGGCATCCACTTGTTCAAGGGCAGCAGAAAGCCTGAAATGGTCATACAGTGCCACCACACAAAGAGTTCAGAGCTGGAGAGGCCCCCTGTTCCCTGTCCCGGCCACCACAAATAGTTCTGGTAGAACATGTGGATACACATCTTGGCTCATGAAGGTATGAGAGAGCAAGTGCAGATGTGCTGCAGAGCGCTATTTATTGTCCTGGGGTGACTTTATGATGCTGGTATCCCCAATCGCCTGTTCTGTTTATGTTACATATTTAAGTTCAGCACCTTTAAGACTGGCTCTGAGAGCAAACAGGGAGAAAGAAGAAGCACACAGCTTGTTTTCAGAAATGGCACTCACTCAGAAACGGCATGCTTCTCTGGACTGCATTGTCTGCAGCATGGACAGACAGCAGGACAGAGCTCTCCTTTGCTTTTAGTTAGTTTTTAGCTAGCTGAGACAGAGAAGTTCCCCAGACTGTTTATTTTCCTTTTTTCTTGGATCTCTTCAAACCTGCACTGGACTGAAAACCCAGACAAACCCCAGGAGCTCACGCATGTGGCTCACCAGGGCCTGGGCACGGGCACTTTCCAGCACCAGAGGAACTGATAAGAGACTGAGCGAGCTGAGCTACACCCCATGAAAAGGACTCTTCTGGATTTGCCATCTCTTTGAACACTGAGAGGTTTTATTTTTTAATATTATTCAATTTCTGTTAAATAAACAGTTTTTTCCACTTTTCTCCAAGGAAGTATTTTTCCTGAACCAGTTGGGGGAAGAGCCGCTTGAATTTGCTTTCTGGAGGGACTCCATTAGGAAGTTTTCTCCCAAATTTGCTCTAAACCAGGACAAATACAATTACTGGTGTCCAGTGTGGGGCCTGAGAAAGTGGAAAAAACCTGTACTGATTGCATTTTGGTTGTACTTACTCTGTATTGGGATAAAGCAGTCAGTAACCATGTTGCTTGAATTCATAATGTCTCTCAGGATGGAGGCCTTCATGCAGTTCTGGTCCCTAGGCTTCTCTGAGGTTTTAATACCTTTCTGGTCCCTAGGTTTATTTTCTTTTCCAGAGATAGCTCCAGTGTTGTCCCTAACACGTAGCTTTTACAGTAGAGGGGCACAGATTAGAACAGCTATTGTGCTGGGCTCAGTGATAATGATTTATAGGAAGTGAAGCAGTGAGAATGAGGGAAATCAGGTTTTGTGGGAATATAAATCCATTTTTCCCTTTTATCTGGTCTTCCACTGGGTTCCACTGAGCAGCAGGACCACTGGCTCCGTCCCACCCCTGTGAGGCCAGGCTGAGGCAGGTCCATTCACTCACCTCAGGGCAGGTGCCTTGGGCTTGCTGGATCGTGGCAATGAAGTTAGTCACCAGGAAAAGCACATTTTCCCCCTGGGAAGCAAGAAGGCACCGTCAACGGGGACTGACACTAGAGCGGGTACAAGGGGACGCCCTATGACACCATGGGTGGAACAAGCACTAATGGCTTTGCCAGGGCTTATTGGAGGCCAGTGCTACCTGCGGCATCCCCTTGCCAAGACAACTGACTGTATGTGTGACCTCCCCGCCCGGGGCCCGGCCGTACCTGCGGGGGCCAGGTGAGATCCGCAGCGTCCCAGAGCCGCCGGCCCCCGGCCTCGGCGGCCACCGCCCCCTTCACCTTGGTGACCACGGCGACACGCGGGGCCGCGTCGCGTTCCTGGTACCCCTTCCGCAGCAGCAGCACCCACCTGCGGAGGGGCGGGGGCTCTCAGGGACCCCCGGCCGGACCCGAGGGCTGGGGGGTGTCCCTGCCTCAGCACGGACCGGCCACCCCGAGGGCAGGGTGCCTACCCCAGCAGGTAGCCAAGCGCGCTCAGCTGCAGCAGCCGGTGCAGCAGCCCCACCCGCCGGTTCCGTGTCAGCGAGAACTTGGCAGTCTTGTAGTCGAGCAGGGACCCGCAGGGTGGGCCCGGCATGGCGGCAATGAGGGGAAAGGAGGGCACGGTGAGGACAGCGGCACCGGGAGTGAAAGGCGGGCAGGAGAAGGAAAGGCGGGCACGGTGAGGACAGCGGCACCGGGAGTGAAAGGCGGGCAGGAGAAGGAAAGGCGGGCACGGTGAGGACAGCGGCGGCCGGAGTGAAAGGCGGGCAGGAGAAGGAAAGGCGGCCACGGTGAGGACAGCGGCACCGGGAGTGAAAGGCGGGCAGGAGAAGGAAAGGCGGGCACGGTGAGGACAGCGGCACCGGGAGTGAAAGGCGGGCAGGAGAAGGAAAGGCGGCCCCGGGGCCAGCGGCCGCGGTCACTGCGCGCCCGGCACTGCCCGCCTTCCCCGCCCCCCGCGGCCCCGCCCCCGTTGCCATGGCGGCGGTGCGCGGGCGCAGGGAGGAGCCTCAGGCCGGGCCAGGCCGGGGCCGCAGCCCCGACACCGCGCGGGTCCCAGCGGCTGCGGAGCCTGCCAGACAGCCGGGTGAGCCCCCGCAGCCCCCAGCCGCGGGCCCTACCCACAAAGAGAGTCACAGAATGGTTTCGGTTGGAAGAGACCTTGCAGCTCATCGCGTGCCACACCAGCCATGGCAGGGAAAGCTCCCACTGTCCCAGGCTGCTCCAAGCCCCAATGTCCAGCCTGGCCTTGGGCACTGCCAGGGATCCAGGGGCAGCCCCAGCTGCTCTGGGCACCCTGTGCCAGGGCCTGCCCACCCTGCCAGGGAACAATTCCTGCCCAATATCCCATCCAGCCCTGCCCTCTGGCAGTGGGAGCCATTCCCTGTGTCCTGTCCCTCCATCCCTTGTCCCCAGTCCCTCTCCAGCTCTCCTGGAGCCCCTTCAGGCCCTGGAAGGGGCTCTGAGGTGTCTCTGGAGCCTTCTCCTCTCCAGGTGAGCACCCCCAGCTCTCCCAGCCTGTGCTAAACCAGCACAGACCACCCCCTGTCCCAACCAAGGGATGGGCAATTTGTCTTTCCCACTAATGAAAATGATGTCATTCCTCTGGATGGAGCAACCTAAGTTTTACATCAAGGATACATCAAGGGCCCTTTCCAGCCTGCTCTGCTGGAGGTTCAAGGACCTACCAGGGCCCCATGTGATGTGCGGAATAAAGGGACTCTATAACTCGCAGAGTAGTTATAAGAGCAGGTATGAATTTATTCAGCGCTGACGTGCATGGGGGATATCTCCTCCAAAAAGCATGCACATCTTTTTTATTATGTTTTCTCTTTTTATCCTTTACAGACTAGGTTTACACGATACGCCTAATACATACTCATTTCCTAACCCCGCTTGTCTTCACTTCATATTACAATTAGCTTCATGCCTCTTTCAGTCTTTTGGCTGCCTTTTGGGACTTCAAATCCATTTCTTCCGGCTTAGGGTCCGAGGAATCCCCTTTATCCTGTGGTGCCTTTGTCTTTGCATCTTGTTTGTGTATTCTAGCTCCTTATCTCATCTTGCAGTTTTACTCTTGTTCTTGTGGATTAGGGTGTCAGGGTATGGTTTTTGTCAGACACCCCTTTTAGTCAAGCATTTCTTCCTAATTCTTAATTTCTCTGTTTCACATGCACCCATACCAGAACCAGCACATGAGATGTGATGTTGGTGTGCAGTGAGGATTTGCCAGCAGACTGCTTTGAAGTGCTCAGGAACCAGAATCATCTCCTTCCCTGGATGCAGGTGGGAGGGTGGGATGTGTAAATGGGTCAGTACACCTCTTGCCCCTTGGGCTGAGAATTTTTCCTTTGTGTCATCTCCCCTGGAGTACTCCACATTTTTAAAGTAATATTTTTAGGAAGAAATTATAAATAACCTGTTTTAAATTATTATTTTAAAATTTTTAGGAAGAAATTATAAACCTTTTGTATATTCATGTCAGGTAGTCCCACCTGAAGCCACTTTCAGCAGGCACAGCACTGTAGAAATGTGCAGTTTGGACCATAAAAGAGTACAGTCTTTCATACTCATTTTTTATAAACTTTTTTGTAAGTTTATTTTGTCCGGAATTGTTCTCTGAGGTCCCTTCCAGTTAATTTTCCTGTCTCTGATATCCGTGGATGGAGATAATAATTTGATTTTGTAGTATCTTTTGTATAATCACAAGGTCATGGCCATGCTTCTGTTTAGCTGTAAATATTTTTGAAATTAGAATTGCTCCTGACAGAGAGGAGGATGCCTGAGGCAATACAGGCTTAAATGTGGAATTCAGGATTCAGAGCACCTGTGAGTAAACTAAAGGGACACTCACGCCAGGTGCAGTCACAGGCTGCAGGCAGAAGTGATGCCCAGGGAGGTACATTGTCAGGCACAGTGGGCCACAACCTTTTCCTCTGCATCATAAATAGTGACAGCAGAAGTATTTTTCATAATTTTAATGGAAAGATAAATTAATCCTTTAAAAACATAATGAAATATCTCCAGCTGTATCCAGTGTTTGCTTTCCGGGCAAAGCTTGGAATGGTTTTTGAAGGGGAATCTTGTACTTATGTACACCCACGTCAGCCTGTGTTTGGGGACTCTCTTTGCTGGTGACTTTAGATATTTCTTTTCTTGTTGGTTTCAGTCTTGTTACTGCTCTTTTATTTTGACTCCTGACTTTAAGCAGCTATTATTTAATTGCACATACCTGCATTCACAGCACTCCTGTGATGGCCATCCAGTTACTGCTCCCTGGGCCTTTTTCTGCACTGGTGTCACCAGGCTCACTTGTGCTGGGCTCAAGCCTCCATCCTTTCCTCTGGACTCTCCACTTGTGCACACGTTTCTTGTGACACCACCACTCATCCCTAACCTTCCAACATTTGTGTTCCTTTTTTTACCTTCCTGGCACAGGCTTCACCTTCTCCATCTACAGATATCCTTGGGTATCCCCAGCCGTGTGTATCTCCAGGATGAAGATTCATAGATCTCCCTACTCCTGGTCTCACCCTGCAGCTGTACTCCAAATCCCTCTGCTTCCAACACTGAGTGTGTACTTGATGGGTACACACTCAGAAAGGAGATACTGATTTATTTCTCTGCCATGCCACATCCCATGTTGTGTGCCAGATCCATGTTCTTCCTGGGTGGTGTCTTTCATGCAAAATTCAACATTCACTCCATCCACTGCTTTACAATCCTCAGTCCTCACACATCTCACCTGCTGTAGCCTCCTTCTTGAACGTCCTTCATGTCTTCAGTGGACTTTGTCTCGTGGGAGAGAAAACAACCTTAATCACCACTTCTGGCCACCAGGAACATCCCTGCCATCCACCTCATTCATTCCAAGTTCTATTCTGCCTTTTTTACCCTGTGTTTACCTTTGACGGCTGAAGTGGCTGCTTATCATCGCCCCTGTCCTCCTCACCTCCTGTTCCTTTTACAGTCCAACAGTTCTCCTCAGCTGCCTCATCTTCAGGCATGGACATGGTTTCCTTTTCATTTGTCCTGGCTGGCACCCTTATTTTTTCCTGCCCCATTGGAAACTCACACAACACTTGCTGAGCAAACATGTTCTGATTTCCAGTGGTTATGGGAGGGGTTCCAGGACCAGGAGGCTGTGGGAGCTCCCTGGCTGCTCAGTGTCAGCTTTCAGGCTCGGTGGAGCCCGAGTGGGGCATTCACAGCTGCATTGTGAGCACTGGCCCCTGGCTTTATCATGATGATGGGATTTTCAGTCCCTCTTTGCTGTCTTGGCAACCTGAGGTCAAAGAACATAGATGCTTCACTGTGTGGCAGCATCTGCTTTGGGTTTGTGGTAAATGAGGTAGAAAAAGATGTAGTTTTAATCACCTAGGGGTAATACAGACAGTTGCAGAGAAGTACATGAACTAACCCAAACTTCCTTTTAACTCTTTTAACCTTTTAACTGTTTGGTTTCATGTACTTTTTCTTAGGGGAGATTTTTGGAATGGCTATAGAAGAAAATATTGGATTAAACTTAGAATCAGCTGAAACCATTTCCATAGCCAAGGGCAGCTGCCTCGGCCAAAGGCTTGGAGCAGGGAATTGTTCTCACTCCTGTTCTTAAACTCTAAGAGCTCACATGAAGCTGATGTGCTGTTGGCCTTGTGCCTGTCCACGAGTAATCTATGACCTGGGATCACACAGACCTTGGAAATAAGAGATAAAAATCATCCAGTATCTATGGACATAATCACAGATGTTTTCATTTTTTTGTTTCTAGTTTTTCCCTTTTTAGAGTCAAAATTACTATAATGAATGTTTTGAATGGTTTAATTTCTGATTGATAAATCAATACAGATATTGTTTTGTAGTCAAAATATTGTTTTTATTCTACTAAAATTTTACTCACCAAAATAAAAACCAGTTCTTTCAGCCTCTGAGGCTGAAAGGGACCACATGTTGGTGGTTAGTGGTGAGTTGGCAGTGCTGGGTTAATGGTCTTAGAGGTCTCTTGCAACCTAAATGATTTTGTGATTCTATTATCTTCTTTACTTGAAAATAATTCTATGGTTTACCTAGTGGGGTCTGTCCTATAAATACACAAATGATTTTATCATTACGTGTCTAACAAATCAAGCCTGTGTTTTGTTTTCAGGACTGTCTAAACCATTTGCATGTTGTAAATATGGGCTGCAGTCTTTAAATCTGGGCTGTCTCTAAAAACATCAGAACCATCCTGACACCCCCTCAGTCTCTAGATGAAAACTTAGTGTATTGAACACAGAAGCTTTATGGGGCTTGGTTTAAATCAGTCTAAGTGCTTATATTTTAAAACATTTTTCACCATTATTCTGTTATGTCCTTTGCCCCTAGCCCTTCCTGTGTTCTCCAAAGAAGAGATGCAAATTAAAATCCTATGAAACAATACACTCCAAGTTTGACCTTATTCACCAGCTACAGAAGATCCACTTGCACATGTTTTGACACACATGGATTTGTTTGTCACTGGAGTCAGAGCAGTGTGGTTTTAGGCTCAATAAATGTATCAGCAAACCATTTGGGAACCTAAACACACCAGGTGATCCAGCAGTGTTTTACTGGGCAATGTCACTGGGATAGGGACCTTGAGCATCCTGTTGTCCTATGGGTTTGATGAGGTGGCTGAGGGACACAGAGCACAAGCCTGCCTTGTTTCCAGGTGGGATTTGCCTTCCCAGAGGGCTGCCAGGAGGAGAGGGAGCAGGCAGCT